AGATCTTAAACGAGTTTGAAAGTCAAGAGAAAGAAGTTGAAATTAACTCTCAAGATGCAATTTGAATAACAATTTTGTGTTAGTATGGCTCCAACATTAGGATGTACTATGAAATGCTTAAAGGCAGCTTGAACATTGAACTAAGACAGCGTGTGCATATTTAATTGCTTGCATGAGAAGTTAAACACATCTGTCCACTTATGCTTGTGTCTGGCCACCTCTCAATCATTCCACACACATCACCCGCTAAGGAGACGGGGGCAGTAAGTGTACCGTTGGACAGCACGGAACAGTGCCGGTGCCCGGTCGCACAGCCTAATTCACGGACCCCGGACCATCCGATGCGCCTCGCCATCGCCTCGGGCCTCGCTCCTCGCCTACGCTTACGTCTTCGTCGCCCCTCCGCCGCGCCCGGCGCCCCTCCCTGGCAACGCCCCCACATCGAGAGCGTACCCTGAAGAAAGCTCCGGGAGGCCGCCCCGAAATGGCCCTGCGCCCCGCCCAATTGGTTTGGCGCACAGATGGAACTTCGCGCTTTGAAGCTCGGAAGAAGATGTGACTTATGACAATTCACCCTCGGAGGAGTCTACTAAAAACGGACTCAACAAAAATATTGATTAAAATTTGCCTAAGTGAACTGTAAACTCCTTGAGCTTTAATGTACGTCGAGTTTTACTTCTGTCTATGTTTAGTGGAATTTTTTTGTAAAGCCTTATGCCTAGTTCTTATAAAAAAAGGTTTGTATTCGTTTCACATCGTACAAGGTGTTAAAATCAGCGTCAGAAAAAAAACAAAACTTCATAGAAAAATCAAGACGTACAACATATTAAATCTGGATGGTGATGATTCGCTATTTGATTCAAAATAACAGAAGATATTTATTTTCTTTTCAGATTTTATTTAATATCGGCCTCTTATCTATATTTTTCTCTAAATATCATTCAATCCTAAAATGAATAGAATACCCTCAACTGTTGTTTTATTCAACGACATTCATATTGACAACATGCTCTTTTGCTGTGCTCAATTTCCGATCATGCATTATATTTCCCACTAATTCCCTCCCGGGTGGACTTCATGCTTCTATACCGTCGATGAAGAGCAATTGAGGATGAGGGAATAATGCGTGTATTTTACAAATGCATATCTGTTTATCCATTGTGAAAGCCCTTATTACTTATGCAAAGCCCGACTAATGAGCAGTTTTAAATACAACACAAAACATATATCAACATAATAAACATCCATTTGGTCTCAAAATTCATTAAATGAAATCCATAGCCTCGTTCATACAACAAAAATCAAATGAGCTCTCTCATGAACTTCCCACGTCAAAAATTCAGAGAGAAAAACAGCATATCATGAAAAAAACATTAAATGTTTAATAAGTAGCTAGCCGTAAACGAATATCTTTATAAAACAATTTCTAAATGTAATAATAATAATACATGTTACAATAACAATATATAAAAAAATAAAATAATGACGATGTTTCGGACTTGTGAAAATACTTTTTAAGTAGATTAGAAAAGCAAAATTACTAATTTCATTATTATTATTATTATTATTATTATTATTAATTATTACTATTATTATTTATTAGCAAACAATTTGTGGCCGTTAAATATTTTCAATGAATGTTACTAAACGTTTCTTCCAAAAGTCTTCTATTTTTAAATATCCAAATTTGGACAGGAAGCCCCTGTCGGAATACGAAGTACAGGGAAGTCGGAAGAAGTCACGGGTACACAGACCCATTAGGATCGGTAAAATAAATTAATGCGTTATAAAGTTCTGCAACCATTTTCTCTTTCACTATCGCGGTTTCGTTAGAAAATTTCTTTGATCGAATGGTTGCAAATCTCACATTATAGCGGTCTCGAGAATTAATAAAAATATGAGCAGCTGACCCTTGCGATTAATCACACAAAAGGAAGATCTGTAGAAAAAATTACAATCGAAAAAGTACATGCAAATTAACGAAATATATAAAATTCCCCCATAAATTATTGTTTCATCTCTTTCTATCCCTCCAAACCGCAGAAAATAAGGAAGGTTTAAAAAGTTTGAACAATACAATAAACTACTCTTTGTAACACAGCGTTAAACGTGTTTCCTGAAAATGTACTTTGAAATGGATATTTACCTAATTGTTCATGCGGTTTGGGCAACTATTTTTTAGGATATCTTGCTATCACACCTTAACGTAAAACCGTAATGCATCGCTTGTAATTATAATATTGAAAAGTTTTCGAAAATGGATACATTGACATACTATTGCTAGCTATTGAGTTTCTTTACATACACTCACTATTCCTTTCATTTTAAAATGGTCCAATCTTTGAAACTTAAAAATACTCTCTTATCTTCACTTCGTATCTATAAGACCAAGATACAAACTATCTGTGTATTTATTGTAATTGTCTTGAAAACGATGCTAAGAAAAGCGTTCAGTTCCAACTAATTTACGATTTCATTATTTTTAAAAGTACTATAAAATTGGAGAACAGTAATGCAATTATTGTAAGCAATACAATTTCTAGGGAAAAAACAACTTTTCATTGAAAATAAAAATCACAAAAGTTTGGTTTCAACACGAAAACCCCTCGATAAAATATGATGGGTTTTACTTTTTTAACACATGAACATCATACAGGTATCACAAAAACTTATCTTCATCCACATAGTCAAATGGTAGTTCCTTTTAGAAGATGCGACACAACCTTCAAGACATCGCTTTGCATGACCACTAAAAATGAAAGAATGATTCCTGAAAAGTCTTCCTTGTCACCAAATTCCGCATTTCGTGTCCATAATTTTGCGCGTCTCGATATTAAACTGTCCTATACGTCCATCATTCATCAAAATAAATAACTTTATTATTAACTAAAGACTGCCCTCCTTCGCATCTCATCTCGCATTAAACTATACTAACAGTTCACCTCGCCTCTATTCGACTGCTTTAATCCTACTACTATGCGATTCCTATTTTTCTTCCTCTTCAATTCTTTCTAATCATCTTACGGGCGATAGGCAAATTCGGTACTTAAGATGCTCAATCTTTCTCTCTATGCGTAAACTTCTTCTGTTGTCTATTGACGTGTCTTCACTCACTTTCGGGATTTGGGTCGATCGTCATTTGTTTGCTTAATTAATTTCCTCTTAAGCTAATCTATAATGTAAATCTTTATAATGTTAAATCTTCAATTTATAAATATTTATGAAAAATAATGTTTCCCATTTTAAACATTTGAAAATCTACTCCGCAGAAAGATTAGCAATTGCCGAATTTGTTTACTCTACCATCCGTATCTATTATTAAATGGCACTTTTAATACTTTATATGAGATGTTACTACTCAATACGAACGACAACATAAATTGTTCGCCTTCAGTTTCAGCGAAATTCTTTAAATTTTCCACTGCTGATGTTAGTCCTTATTTCGAATTTCAATAAGTTTCATCGTATTAAAAACAAAGAGAGGATACTCAATTCAATTTTTACTGAAAGCATTAGAAAATTTTCACCAGGATTTAATTTATAGTTAAAATAAGTTTATATGAGTATAGAGGCTCCGGCAATTGCTGCTATTGCAATGTTCACAATGCTATTGGTCACGTTGATTGTCATAACTTCTACGCTACGCTCTGCAAAAAGTTTAATAAAACGAAAGGATTTCTCGCCCATGTGTTTGTTCGTCCCGCTGATTTGACCGATGGTTGTGAAGTATTCTTGTTAAAACATCTCCCTCAAACTTGGGTATGCAAGTCACTATGACATAGTCTTGGAGAAATTTGATTACTTGTTCGAGATAAGCGTATATTTCACAATCGTAGAGCAGAAACGCAGCAAAGACGCGTTTAAACTTGAGGAAAACGGTTGGTAAGCTGTTTAGAGCCTTGAGTCAGAACAAACGCACACAATCCATCATCAAACACATGTGTCTACATTCGAACGACGCGCGTCTATGGGCACATTCGCGTTGTACATACCGTATTCTTTGCGGCAAGTGCAAGCAATAAGTTGACAAAAGTTTATATCGCATAAAAAGAACGGGTATGGTGGCGCATTAAATACGAATAAATAAATAAATAAATAAATAAAAAATTGATTTCTATGTATTAGCAATTTATTGGGTTACATAGAAAATATTTCAAAAATATTGCATTCCTATTTTTTCTGTTGAAGATTTTCGATGATGACGAATCTTGAATATAATTGTAAAACAAGTTACTACTAAGACCATATTAACAAATGCATTACATCTACAATGAAACGTGAGATACATCGACAAGGACTTTTAGTTCAATCATAGCAATAAAAGAAAGTGAGCTTCGAAAACAGTCGCATCTCTGCATCTCACTCCCCTGCTGCTCCGGGAGACTCCCCTCGCCGCCACTGGAAGAACACGTCCCGCCTGAGATCTCTTTCGGGAGGTCCATTTCAGCCACACCCGGCGCACCGCAGGCCGCTGATTTCCTCGCGCGTCGCCGCGGAGCGCGGAACATCATTCATCCCATAGATCTTGCATCAACTCGCCGGGGAAGTGGCGCACCTAATTATTCACGCGGCCCTGCGACCCTCTCCCTTTCTCTGGCGGCGCCTCGCCGCCCGGGGAAGGACTGAGAGCTTCGCTTTCGGCAGAATGACACCGGAAAGCGCCTGTCGCCCACGGAAAATACCTGTCGGCGGCCGGCGCGGTGGCGGTGCGGGTGGCGAGGGCGGCGAAGGCGGAGGCAGAGTGCGGCACAACATATTTTCGCGTTCCCAGAAGTACCTCGTCTCCCCTCCGGGCCAGGAGCTCCCTGGGAAGTGGGTTCATTAGCATCGTCAAGTCTCCCTCCCGCCCACGCGTTCAATTATTAAGCGGAGGGCCCTTCTCTGTCCAGTCATGGCGGCGCGCGGGCGAGAAAGGGCAGGCAGCGCGAGGCGCGGAGAGCGATGGGGCGGGCAAGGGGCGTCTAATGGGCTCGAGAGGACGCTGCGATGCTCGTCACATCGCACTGACCCCTGCTGCACCGGTTGCTTCCGCCTCCTGTCTTCCGGCGGGGATTCAACTCCCCAGCACGCACTACTCTTGCAGCTGCCAGCTTTGCTCCAATATTGCCATTCCCGTTTCCGTCGATTTCGCTGCTATCTGCACTTCCCTACCACTTTTGAGACTCGTTCGATTGGACAGCTCCCAGATTGTCACCTCCCACATTTGCACATATGGCTCTAGAACTCCTTCCCATTCGCAAAGCAGTCAAACTCCGCCAGTAACTCATCTCATCTTCCTACACACTTCATCCTCATTAAAATACCCATCTCAGGATTTGATAAGGCACGTGGTCAGTACAGCTCCATGTCTCTTCGTTTTAGCACCCACCACTTCTCCCTCTACCGTCACCCCGTCTTCCGCATTGCCTGCCGTCTGCAACTCCACTGCACGCCCCCTCGTCTCGCTCGCCTTTCCGTGCTGCCCCGCGGCCCAGTCACCGGCTGGGAGCAAGATATTGTGGGGATGATCCATGGCGAGCCCCCGCGATGCTGAGAGGGATTCGCCGCGCTCATAACTTTAGTCACGAGATGACGCCGGGGAGGGGAAGATGCAGGCGGGCGTGAATTTATGCGTATCGCTCAGCTGTGGCGGGTGGCGGGAACGGCCTGATGGCGCCCGGACCACGCTGTGATGACGCATCGCCATGGACTCCAGGTACAAGGCACCGCTGTTAATGACATCAAAGTAATATTATTTTTTCTTATAGCACGTTAAACAGAAAATAAATTCAATGACATATTTAGTTGACGCGGATAGGATTTCTGTAAATATTGGAATTAAAAACATTTTAAAGTGGATTTCAATTTAATTTGTACTAAGTGTAAATGACCAAACTTGACTTAAAAGGAGAGAAGTTTATAAAATACTTTCTCATTATTTCTTAATATTGAATATAAAGGTTCGAGTGTAATTAATATTAAAATGAAATATAATTATTAATCTAATATCCAGAATCAATTCTCTCTGATGTAGTTCTTGGGAATACATTATTAGCACGGCTGTTTAAACAACCATATTGGCATGCAAAGCGACAAAAGTGGCTCAGAGAATCAACTGATGTCACGGTAGTGCTTCAGACATGGAGGTTCTAGAGTTCGAGTCCAGAAGGTCGAATTCAGCTGCCGTGTGGAAGATGATTCTAGTGGCCGGCTGCTCTGATCGGTAGTTTTCCGTGGTTTCTTCGATCGACATTAGGCAAATGCCGGGACAGTACCTTAACAAGCGGGCCACGGACCGTGCGCGATCTTTCCTTCCACTTTCTGTCCTCACCCTTACACACATTGAACCTACACTAACCCACATGTCGGGGGACGAGTAAGGAGCTCAGAGCTTGTCGGGAGCTCAGAGCAGATTAGGGATGTGTCCCGCTGGTAGGAGATACCTGGTTGGGGGAAATCCCTGCAAGCCAACGTCGGCGGCGCCGGATCTCGCCAGGAGGCGGGAAAAGATCACCGCCACCTGACGCGATAAAACATGCTATACTCTAACGGAACTAATGTTCTTAGCAGTTGACGCGCAAGGAATCCTCAATCAATCAATCTGCATGTAAATTGTAAGATATATTCAAGATAACAACACACTTCTCCGTCTCTCTTATTTCTGCCGAAATTCTTCCACCCATACTCACCTGACCCTCTGCCGCGCTGACGGACGAAGCCGCAACTGCATTCCCCTCCGATTAGGCCAACCACAGCAAGCTCCCGTCCTCATCGCACCGCCTGGAACAGGCAACCCTGCCTCAACAAACATCGACCGCACACACCAACCTCGCAACCGCCTTTGTCACCCCGGCCACTTAACCAAGTGACCAAGTAACCACGCCTACCGACTCCACCGCCCTATACCGTGTCTTTCCCATCAACGTCGTCAGCGCTTTGTCGTCCGTTAGTCCAGATCGCTCGCTTTGAACCTCCCGCGCGCTCCGATCCCACCGACCGTGGATCACCATCACCGACCCGCCTCCATCACCGTCCACCCCGGGCAGCCACGCCACCTCCCGGCACAACCCGCTCCGTCACCGCATCCCGTCACCATCCCAACACGCCACATCTCCCCTCTTATCACCGTGCCCTCGCTGCACGAGCACCCATCCCCAGCGGCGCGCCCGACTCGCCACCGCCCTCTGCCGCCCTCCCCCCCCCAGCCCCGCCCCCTCGCCGTGTGTTTAGCTTGCGGAAACAAACCGTTGCACCGGCGCGCGCCGTGCGACCGCGCATTTTCAATTAGCGGTTCGATAGCTCTCGCCTCGCGCGCGCGCGCGCGGCGACACGCACACAAACGGCTAAATTACATGCACGCATATTGGCGCCGCGGCAAAGTATTCTCTCCTCTCCGCGCGCGTAAACAGCCGCGCGTTGCAATTAGGCGCGCCACGAGTAATTGAGTCGCCCGCGCTCACGCGCGCTTTTACACGCGTCCGACGCCGCCCTGCCCCGCCCCCGCCGACTCCGCCGCGCGATATGAAAACGATGAATAGGTGATTCTGATTTGGGCGCCGCTGGTGTGTTCAAAACGATTTGAATTTCGGGTGGATGCGCGGAGGATATTCTTTACAAACGTTTCGATATGGTTGCCGGTGGTGAGAGGTAAATTCGCGCGTTAGTTGGGCGTCAGTTGATTGTCGATTGTCTTTCTTTTCCACTTTCGACGGTTTTGTTTAAATTCCGTAACTTGATTGAACCTCTGGAAGTTCGTACACCCATGGTTTGTTCATTAATAATTGTATCCGTTAATGAAGGTTGTGTGTGCATTTGATTAGGTGAACGCTGTAAAAGGGATACGTAGTTAAATAGAACTAGCTGAACCTGTACAAATTAATCCTTCTAAATAACGACTCGCAGAAAAGTTACAACAAAAATACTCTATATACCGCATCGAAAAACAGAAAAACTCAATTGTTTGATAATTGAAAAGTTTTCTGTTTACCAAGATCTGTACATGTATATGGTGGACTATAGAAGGAAGATCCACCGAACTGTAACTTAAAAACGCAATGCATCACATATACTTATAATCCCCGGACATTTTTGCAAAGACTCATGTCAGACGATTGCTGGACAATTGGAGAGTGGATACTGAATAATCTTAACATTTAAAAACAGCCATTAGTTTTTGAACCTAAAGAAACTATCTATGAAACATTGTGTGCTTTCAATAGATCTATTGGAACTCGCAAAACCAAACGTCCAAACAACAAATTAATGGAATATAATAAAATAAAACATGAAAACGATGTGAACAAATAATTGAAGATAAGCGTTCTCTGAATTTTAAGGTACTGTGCATCAAGGTACTACTAGTTTTTTCTATCAAACCTGTTAATAATTTCCAGTGATGACTAATTTCGCGCCCATTACTTTTCATATGAAGCAAACGTGTTTGAGTAGAAAGTTCAAATTGCTATCTAAACAAAAACTCTTAGCCTTTTAAATGTATTGATAATATTAGATCATTAATTATTTCGTTAAATTTTACATATCCATCCCTATCATTTAAAATTGTTTCATACCGAATTACTTCAACATGAGGACACATAAAATTTGAATTTCGGGAAAAAGAACCTACCGTCTCTTTTCGCTATACAATTCCCCATATCATTGACTTTCGTTGTTTCGAGAATTATCTCTTTTTCAGCTGCTGAGACAAACTATTCACAGTGAGAGAAATGCATCAAAACAAATTAACTGCAGAATTTATAATATGAAATGTTAAAAGTTTACAGGATATTTTTCTATTTTCGTATCTGAAATATATGTTCTTAGTATATTTGTATTCGTTCCAATTAGAAAATTATTCCTTAGCCAGCACACAATCATGTAAATTACTCGATCTATGTTTCAGTACAGAAAAAGTTAAAACAAGAGCTGGTAAAAACAATGGGAGGTATAAACAAAATATGTGGGAACAATATTACAAGCGTTTGCCATGGTATTTTAACATTGCGGATGTTTATGCCATATTTGTTAAGTCTTAGACAAAACTCTCAGTAAACAACCGTAATATTCATTTTTTACACGCTGCTTCATTGAAATGTTTGTTTTTTTGCTTGACAATTTGTTTTCAATTTTATTCGCTTCATATGGGAGTTGATGAAAAAATAATCATTGAATCATGTAAAATGCCTTGTTGGTAACGTATCATTTTAATTGACTGCTTTTCTGTATTTCTTTTTATTTTATATGAGAAAATCACTTCAAATTATTTTAATATCTCTCAGTAATAACTTTATTTTGCCTAAAATTCATGGAATTTGGCAGTTGATTGTTCAGATAGTTGCTGTATACAGTTAATTTGCGACTGCATATATTTTATAGAGATTATTTCAATTTGGTTTCTTTTTTACCTTATTGTAAAATAATTTATCGGTTTTGGTCGTAATAGTTTTGGATATATTATTATAAGCACCCTTTTTCAATGCACTAAATCGTTCATAAAATGACATTTTATAGCAAAAAACATTACGTCATATATTATTGTGCGAATAATGAAGTCAGCGCTGATGTATTTGTCACCTGACGCTTTGTAATCATGAAAACGTGATACCATGTAAATAGTAACTCCCATCCCTCGAATTAACTACAGAGTAAATGATTGCTAACAATGTTATGGCCAGAGAGACAAATTATACGATATCAGTATGTCATGTTTCTCAATCAAATATACCACACTCTAGCTTTAGTAACTCTAGGATACTTCGTACAAATGCAGCGCTCGGCTCTTCATTAGTCCTACGCCATATTTTTTAAAAAGTAAGATAAAGCTATTACTCGCGCAACTTTTCTTGAACGATGGATTGAAGAAATGCGGGTACAGTGGGGGTATTAGTTACCAAATCGGCCACTAGATTTTATGAAGTAATGCCAATCTCTGGAGAATCAGTCACGCCTTCGTAACGTTCTCAATAATTTGCTTTCTAAATTCATCAGGAGTTGGAGGTATCTGCTGTGATAGATCCGTGCCTGCTTCGGACATTTCTTTAGATTTTTGGTGAAAATAACTGATAGAAGTCCTCTTCAAAAGAAAATTGTTTCTATTTCGCGCCAGCGAAGATGTGTTTGGAATGTCATCAGTGCTGGTTGCGAGCCTTTGCCTTCATCTGTTTATTGTACCAGAGAGGGGGAAGCAAGGTCATCGTTCAAGAAAAGTTGCGCGAGTAATACTATCACACTCGCCATATCGGTTATTACATTTTGATACAGAATTACGGCGCTAATGTAACAAATTACACTTTACTACGAAGGCCTTTCTTCTGTACTCTGTGACGAGGGATGTTAAATATAAACTTTTATCCTCTTATTTCTCACGATGAATTTGATAAGGCATTCTAGACTCCCTGAATATGTCCTTCATATGATTATCAATCTGCTGTGATACGTGCAGGCAAGAACAAGAAACCGCCCAAAATAAACTGTTTCTTCAAGTTTCATGCAATTAAAAATGTTTTCTATATATTTATGCAAAGTTCATGACATTTCATGAGAGAAATATTTTTTAAATTTCTGGTCGATAGTTACAACTAACTATTTGGAGTCATTTACATCATCACTAGAAAATAGACACGTTACTAACACATGACGTAACTAGGTCCTTACGTTGCTTATTCCGTAATTCTTATTCATGAAAAAATGTTCAACAATAATCTATATATAGTACGGAGTTGCTCTACAGCTGTCGCCGTTTCTCCGCTCTCAATCTCCATGCCTCTCTATTGGACCATAGATCATCTGGCATTTCTCTTGCCGTCATAGCCTCTTGCACTCCCTGGTGCCATGCAAGTCTGGGTCTTCCTCTCTTCTGTCTTTCTGTCGGCACCCATTTCAGGACTCGTTTTGGCCATCTTTCGTCTGTCATTCGCATAACATGACCGTACCAGACGATTTGTTTTTTTCTCTATTTCGTCAAGGATAGATTTCTTGACATCCATTTTATTTCTTATATCGTCGTTCCTGATTCCGTCACGTCTGCTATAACAGCAGCTTCTACGCCAGTAGTCCATTTCAAGGGCCAGCAGCTTCCCTTTTGTTCTTTTATCTATCTCCCAGACTTCTGAACCGTATGTTGTAACACTCTTAACTAGCGAGGAGTAAAGACGTCTTTTAGTAGTGTTAGTGATGGTTTTGTTCCATAAGACAGAGTTTATACTTCGTGTCACGTTTCTCCCCAAGCTTATTCGTCTCTCAATTTCGTCATGGCTATTTCCCTTATTGTTAAAAAGTACACCAAGGTATTTATATTTGTTTACCCCTTTCATTTTTCCTCTATTTTCCACAAGAAGATCTTCTATTTCATTTTTACCAACTGCCAGGTATTCAGATTTGTCCATATTAATATTTAGTCCTGCTTTTAAAAAGTGTTCATTGAGTTTACGGATCATGAAACTCAAATCGTCAGCATCTTCTGCAATTACTACCTGGTAACAACTTACTACCTACTACCTACTACCAACTTACTAACTAACTTACTACCTAGGTAACCATAATCTATTACTAAGTTATTATTACTTACAAGATGTTTTATTATTAATCCTACATTTACAATATGTTCGTACATTTGTACAAAATGTAAATTTGTTGACTTACCTAATTAAGAATGATCGAAGAAGAACATCTCTAGTAACTCTCCATTATTTCGTTTACTTATTGAGAATATACACCATTTTTTATTGTTCTGACTGTACCAATCCTCATGGTACGTAAAAGTAAAGTGGGGATTGATTTAGC